GAAATGAACTTTCGACGAAATGACTTTCGACGAAATGATTGTCGACGAAATAATTTTCGACGAAGTAAACGGGACCGAAATTTTTGCGAATGTTTTTGCAGAAAAATAAATGCATGATTATTGTTTGGGGTACAACCTCTGCAACCACCTGATCATTGAGAATATCAAGGACGATTATTTTATGCGACAATAATTATAAAAATTTATTTAAAACTTTATCATTATTAATTTCATGAAGTCTGATTTTTTTTTTTTTTGTCAATGGCTCTACTCATAAAAAGATCACAAAGAATATCTTCTAAATACATTTGGATATTCTTTTGTGTTTGTATGTATGTATATTTGGTTAAGGACTTAATGAAGGCGACTGCAACATTATAATCCCGAATTAACTTTAAATCCAAAAAAAGGAAACACAAGTGTCAAATGAATAATAGTCATTGAATGAATGTGAATATTTGGTTAGATAAATTCTCGTTTAATTCATCTGTTTGTTCATTTCCAATTAACTAAAAATAAATTTCCGGTTTTGTCAAGTTACTAAATACTTACTTGTGTGCGCCTGTAACGTCTACTCCAACTGAAAGATTATTTATTCAAGCTGGAAACTCAAAAAAAAAACCAACTTAATCCACTTTGATTTTAAAAGATGGTTTTTTTGATTGATAATTTTGGTAGAATGTAAAATTATTAATAAATTTATATTCACTGAATAATGATCAAATCTGAATATTTTACCTGGATATTACCCTAAACAGGAAGCAATATCATGCAAATCGCATAAAATAATCGTCTCGGTATATATGTATATATTATTTTTACAAATAATAATAATAATAATAATAAATAATCGAGTTTGATACTTTCCGAATCCATCTGGATATGCTGATTTGAAAATGGATAATAATATACTAATATGATTTCCTCTTTTATTTGATTTAAACTCTCCAAGTTTTTACTACTTTCTATTGAAAATTGTGAGCTTTTTCTTCCACCCAGCTCTCCTAAGCAAGTATAATTTGGAATGAAGAATTTATGTCTTTCTTGTGCGGTAGAGCATAATTTTAATATTTGAGAAATTGGTTTCGCTTGATGCTTTCCTTGATGGAAATAGAGTAAACTTGTGTATAAACATAAGCAAACAATATTGGTGAGAATGCTTGAAATCAATCACAACAAAATTGGTTGCAGCATCAATCAAAAAAATTCATTCTTTATATATATGACCTGTTTCTTCGATATTATCATTACTTTATATTTACAATCATTTACTTTTGGCATTTCAACGCAAGCCATCATTCACGCAATGTATTCTTTTTTGTCTATTGACATTGAATATTGAGGCACGTTACCAACATTATGATAACACCAAAGCCATCACCAAAACAAAATCCAAACGTTATAATATCAAAATCGTGATCAAGACTGTGATCAAGATAAAAACTGTGTCTGTACGCGTTCCCACTACAACTACAACCGTTAAAACTGTTCAACCATTACAACTCTTCCCACTACCACTACCACCACAACTGCGTGTATTCCTCCTGATGAACCTTATAACACCAATAATTATAATATATGTTGCAGTGGGGAATATGTCGTGAGATTAATGGTAAAAACACATATGGAGGCGGTACATAGAACTAGATAGAATCATTAATTAATAGACTAATCATTTTATTATCATTCGCAAGTTATTTTATCAATTTATTTATTTAATTATCTTTAATTAATAGCTTAGCTTTGCATTTCTGTTTAATAAAAATATTTTTTAACATAAAATTTGAACCTTGATTATTCATTTAATTTGCCATCATCATAATTGATATTTCTCTTCTTCTTTTTCAAGTTGATGAAATAAATACAATTATCTCCCAATGAAAGAATTGTGCATATTTGACATCCAGATTTTCAAAATGAAAAATTTTTTTCCAAAGATATGATAATTGTGAGAAGTTATTAACCTTTATATAATATTGCTAATAATTTTAATTATCTATAATTTCATTTCTCAAGACATTTAATATTATAATTATAGCTGAATAAATAAATAAAATGATAAATAATTTAATACATAATAAAATAAGATTTAACAACTTATTCAAATAATCCATCCAGTATAGCTAATTCAATCTGTTTAAAATATTCACCACAAAAGTGAATATTATAGAATTTTAAACAATGATTAAATGTTAATAATTACCATTTTTATTACCAATAATTGTCACTTTATTGGAATCCACAGGTTGTAAATTCCAATAATCTGCTAGTATAAACAGCATTTGAATGAATTGCTGGTGTAATTGTTGAAAGGATCAAATTTTATTTCACCCATTTTATCATTATAATTGATTTAAATTTATCCTGTTGTTCTTTTTGAATATTTATAATCATCCCAAACCCAAAAATCAATAATCTTATGAACTTCTTCAGCAGTTGGACATTTATCTGGATTAGCATCCATGCATTTGAATGCTAGTGGGATCCTGCTGAGATGATTAAACTAATAGAGTATGCATTTACTCAAAATTAAAATCTTAGATAAAATTAATTTTTTTCTTTTGTCCAAATCAATAATAATGCTTATAAGAATTAAAATAAATAAAATACAAATAGAACATCTAATTTTCTTTAACAAGACAATATACTAATATGATAATACATGCTAGTTGAATTTATTTATATTGTATATGTAATCAACTCTAAAATATATAAGTTTGGAAATAAATAAATCAACAAGATTTGATATTTCTATTAACTTAACTGGGTAACTCATTAGTGGATAATTAATAAATATGCCTACTTCTAACCAAGATCAGGGTATCATTTGGTTGTAGATTTTAAAACTAATAATAAAAAATGAAAATAATAAATGATTAAATGTTAATAACTACCATTATTATTACCAATCTGGTATAGTTAATTCAATTTGCTCAGTATCTACATGGATATTGATAAATATTGTTAATTTTAAAATTAATAAAAATGAAAATAATCAATGATTAAATGTTAATAATTACCATTATTACCAATAATTGTCACTTTATTGGAATTCACAGGTTGGGGAAGGCTTGTAAATTTTAATAATCTGCTAGTATAAACAGCATTTGGATGAATTGTTGGAGTCATTGTTGAAGGATCAAATTTTATTTTGTCCATTTCATCAAATCCTTTTCTAATTAATTCATCCTGCTGTTTTCTTGAATGTCCATCAAGTGAATCTTTCCAAATTTCAATAATCTTTTCAATTTCATTAGCAGTTGGACGCTTATTTGGATTAGCATCCATGCATCTGAGTGCTAATTCAATATAGAATTTTGGAGTGTTATTTGAGAATTCAGGTCTTACACCTTAATTGCAAGATCTACATCATGTGCCAATTTATTAAATGGTTGTTGGCCAGTTGATACTACAGACATCAGAACTCCAAAACTGTATATATCTGATGCTGTTGTATATGGCTTCCCTTTTAAAACTTCTGGTGCAACATATGGTAGCACTCTAAATATATTATTTTTGCTTTATTCAGATGTTTGACTAGCTGGGCATGATAACCCTAAATCTGTAATATATGAATATCTAGATTGAAGAATATTACCGCTATGAAGATCATGATGAATGATTCCTTCTTTATGAATACCTTTTAAACCAGTAATAATATTACAAATAATTTCAATTTTATGTTTCCATTTTAAATTTTTAAAATCTTTAGTTAAATAATTTTGAAGACTTCCATCTTTTATATAATTCATTACAAATATATATTCTTTTGTAATTGGATCTTGTGTTAATCCATAAATATCAATTATATTTGCTTTATCATAAAGCTTTGTATAATTTTTGAACTAAAAAAAAACAAATAAATATTTAATTACAATAATGATTTAAAAATTTGAAATTAATATTAATAAAATAATTTACCTCATTAAGAAATTCATCAGAAATATTCTGTGAATTATGTAATTTTTTTAATGCCACAATCATATCTTTATTAATTCCTTTATTTTCATCATTTATACTTTTCCCACCATTTAACCAAGTAGCTTTGTATATTGTTGCAAATCCACCTTCGCCTATCTTTTCAATATTTGTTAGATCATTATAAGGAATCCATTGAAAATACCAATAATTATAATAACTAGCTGCTTTAACTTGTGTACTCTTAATCAACTCATCTAATGTTTCATTACCACTAGTCCATCCTTCAGTTAATAGCAATAGCTTTGGATCACATGATTGACACCATGCTGATGAAGTATTATATCTCTTGCAGGTTGGGCATTCTCCATATTCTTCTTTTCTTTGATCTGAAAATTCATCTTCTAATACAAATATATATTCTTTTGTAATTGGATCTTGTGTTAATCCATAAATACGGATTATATCTCTTTTATCATGAAGCTTTGTATAATTTTTAAACTAAAAAAACAAATAAATATTTAATTATAATAACAATATTTTAAAAAATCAGAAACCAATATTAATAAAATAATTTACCTCATTAAGAAATTCATCAGAAATATTCTGTGAATTG